AAGTCATCCAGCTAAAGTCAATACCATACTTTAAACCTTTCAACGAAAGGTAACAAGCTTTACTTTTCGTACTTAACTCGAAAGATAGTTCTCATGAATATCCTCGTAACATGATAAATAGTAGATGCGTTACACTAACATCCACTATAAGGACTACGTGAAGAACACATCATGACTGTCGCCACACAAGAGCATCCAGCGTAGAATGTAGCCTGCTATGAGTTGCTACAACAAATTAAAAACGCTATCAACCATCTGTTGATGTAATTAAGCCGATAAATGAGCACATTTTTCCACGACATGCAAGCTAACACCATTATCTACTAGTAACGCTAATAATAGCTTCCCTACATTGTTCCTTTCATTTTAGTTAGTTCAGATAAAGTTGGTATACAGTTGAAATTTAAATATTCAACCACTACCAGTAGTCCTTTTATCTTTTATGTCAAGCCAATGTAAATGAATTCAATTGTATGACAATAAGAAAATAAGGGCATATTTTGTTCTAGTTACCAGGACACAATGTATGCGATAGACGGTACTCCGTTCATCATGATTGACGCCTATCGGCGTACAATTCAACTTCCATCTTAGAGATGGGGAAAATGTACCCCCCATCTACCGATGGGATAATAACTTAAATAAGATATTGTTTACTATTATCCGCAAGTTAAATAAAAAATATTCCCAAAAATATGCGGTGTTTTAGTTAATATAATGCCCTCGAAACAAGTATATGCTTTTAATAAAGTTAAAGCGATTTGAAATTAACCGAGAAGAAAAAAATCTAAATGCGTCTGATGTCATATCTAATCAAAGCTTTAATCTATTTTGAAAATCCGTAGTACCGTAGTTTATGTTGCTTTCAACTTATCTGATGGCTGAGCCATTAACATGCCTACAAGGAAATGTTTGATTTTCTTGTTCTTTGCTTTTCTCATATTTCAATGCTCAGCGAAACGCTGTCTATCTCTTCTTTTATGTATGAATGGCGAATGCTTTAAGCTTCAACAACAAATTCCATCAATTAATCACTCAAGTGTGTGCCAGTCATTTTCATCAAAAACACTCAACTCATCAACCCATCATGCAAAAGTTACAAATATTGCGACTTTTATTCTATTTTTTTGCCGTTTCCTCTAGCCCTCTTAGAAGTATGCTACAAAAAAAGAAAACAAAAAAATACGTATCTGTTTGAGTTTATGTTTTGATTTTTTATGATTTTTTAGAAGTGCACACGAACATACACACGCGCACATACTATACTTAAAGTGTTTGTGAGTCCTAAATGAATGAATGCATGGACGGATGGGTTTTCGTATACGTACAGATAACTACAAAAGGCATTTATGTTTGTCAATGTGACTGACTTATTCTGGCAATTTGACGAAAAGCTAAGGGTGCTCGCAACCCGGCAGCAGCTTATATTTTCATTCATTTCCTCTTTAATGGCTTTTGATAAAAATTGGGTGAAACGGCAATGGCAGGTAGAAAACAAGAAGAAAAAAGGAAAAAAATAATAATAAAGCGAAAGGAATCAAGATTTCATAGGTAATTATTTCAAAATGAAATGTAGCATACATTTACGGGATTTGCATTTAAGGAAAACATTGCCTAATTTTCAGAGGGAATCTCCTTTTTAAATATTAGCAATGCGTTTAAGCCAAATGAAATTTTTTTTTCTAAAAAACTGATGATAGTACGATTTTTAAAGCAAAACCTCTGAACCGCATGAAACGATTATCTGATTGTCGAACTGAAAGCATAAGGAGTGCTACGTTTTGAGTATTCATCCATCACCATTATTATACCAAGTAGTCGAAAAGTTTGCGGGTGGCGGTGTCGGGAGTAGTATATGTATAATTCAAAAGATCCATTTCTGCAGTGAAAGCGCCACCTAAAACTACGAAATTCGTCATTACTTAAAGCTATTTAAGTTCGTTTTTGTTTTTCGATCTGAACGTACTTCTACCGCCCATAAAGGAATTGTAATCGTTATGTATACTGTAGTTTATGAGTAACGGGCAAAAAACGGGCAATTGGATGTTTGGGAAACACAAGTGTTTCCCATTTCAATTTATGCTATAATAAAGATGGGATCCTTTGACCGATTTAAAGCATTTTGAGCATCTATCCGCACTCAAAAGTTTGCAATCTATTCGCCAAATTAGAAGATTAGATGACGCAACCACACAGATGGACCGACAGACATTCTTAGGTCGATTCAGAATTTGATAATGATCGAGGACTTACTTATACTTTGTATAGTCACCGACGTTTCCTACCCTTGATAAGATAGCTACATATGTCCCCGATCTATCGATGATGGTGCTGGACTTGCCATTCCGCTATTTTGCTTTTAAGATGTTATCGAAAAAATGTCAAAGAGTTTCGAATAAGGACAAACACATGCAAGAAACTTTCTATAATAAATTAATTAATTTCTCGTAAAACAAAGCAAAGCTAGAATACTTTGCTGCTAAGAAGTGCGCCGTTACCTTGTAACGTAACGAAGGAGCGTTAGTGATTCGAAGAGACAAACGTACGTAAAGTAGAATTTCACTATTTATATTGATCTTAATTATATTTATTTTATAGGCGTGCAAAAGTATTTCCCAAACTCCACGCGCTGCTTTCGATAGATAAAAGAAAACTTCACCAATCCGAGACAGGTCAACTTCGTAAAAGAAAAAAGAGTGAAAAGTGATAAAATTGCTTGCTTACAACGTTTTTTCTTTATTATGATTATATTGTCGTAGGTTGTCGTTTGAAATCAAAATATTTATATATCATTCAGCGGCTAAAGAAAATTTGTAATTTTTTTGTCAGTGTTGATAACAGTTATTTCCACTACATATACGATTAGGAATCAGTGGCTTGCTTTGACAATAAAATTTAGGAAAAAAAAAATCAGAAAATGAAGTCAATTTGATTTGTGAATTGATAAGACATTCATATCTCATTCATTTTCCATACGGACAGAGAACTAAATGACTGATGAGTGATGGCTGATCCGCTTTCATTATTTATGCTGATCTAGGTTGTGCGTACTGTAGAGTTACTTCCAGAACTAATCCCATGTGTTACGAATATTTTTCAGAACTCATATACCTTCTAGGATGAGCAACATCAGCTAATAACTTTCAATTTTTTGATGCATTTAAGTAAGTGTTTATCGAACAGACGACTTTGATCCGATCCGACCAATTAATTAATTAATTTCGTTTTAGTATAATTATTATTTTAAAGTTGATTTTTTATACAATTTTCACAATGCAAAAAAAAAAAAAAAAAAAAAAAAAATCTCATATAAAGTACTATCTGCGCCATCTAGAGAGCAGAATTTACAAGTTAAAAACTGTTTTTAAGGAATGCTGAAGGTTTGGAACTTTGCTAAAAGAAATGTATTTTAGTCAACTCAACGAAAAGTACGCATTGCATCGCGTGCTGCCAACAATATGAATTTAATATCCAAACGTGAAAGAAAATATAAATCTTTTAAAATTATCTCACATATTAGTGCTTACGCATTCGACCGAGAAGCGTTTTCAACGAGTCAAAACTGTATTAGTAGTCATTATTTTGTACGATTTATTAATTCCGTTGCAATAATAATCGCTCTTAATGACAAACGTATTTTATAGTTATTATCTTCCATTCTTCTGTGCAGGCAAAAATTCATAATCAAAAGATTACAATTTAAAATCCCATTTCGCGCCAAACCTATCTCAGAAGCCAGTTGTAATAACAGACCAGATCTTATCAACAATTGTTAATGCACAACAAACATAACAAGATAGGAGCATAGCAAAGGTATTTATGCGAAGCAGATGGATGTCTTGAAACATGTGAAAATATCTATCTTTCGCAATAACCAGTGCTGTCACTCGAAAATCCAGAGAAATTTTTCTTCGAAACACCTTACGTTTGTTGTTATTAAACAGATTTTTAATAAACAAACCATTGCGAAAGCTCCTTCAAAGTTCCATAAAAGATAACTTCCGATAAAGCTTGCGATCTATGACTAATACTTTGTAAACTTTTTTACACACTCGCAATGTAATCTGTTTCTTACATTGCAGTGCTGGCCCAAAAACCCCGACAACCTATTTGTCAACAATCTTAGAGCACATAAAACACATTGGGATGTAAATATGAACCCGGAAGCTTTGTATAGCAAATAACCGTTCATTGTACGAGAATAATCGAAAATATTTTGTTTAAAGTATTGGCCAACGCTAGCTACACATTCGTTTTGCCTTATTTGACAATTCGTGGATGACGTGCCTTTAGAGAAGCTCCCCCTTTAGGGCGAGCATTTCATCGTGTCGTGCAAGCAAGTGATAATCGGAAGGACACACGGGAGATGTAAGCCGCCTGGACTAGCACTAGTCAATTGAACGCATCGAATGTATCGCAAATCGGTTTTTTTAATATGAACGGACGGACAGATGATATGTAAAACAGTATCCTCTTATTGCTTTTTTTTTTTTTTTGATATATTTGCCATTCAAATCGTTAATCGTTTCACCAGACTTTGTAGTCCCGGACGACACGGAATAAATCTGCCCATGACCGGCGCAATACAAAATAAGTTTTCATTTTTTGCTTCGTTTGAAAAAAGAAATAATGTTGTCGGCGTGTGTTTCCCTTTTTCTTTGGCTCAAGATGAGCAAACGAAAACAGAGCGCCAGATGATTAGCAAGAAACATCGAATTATGGATATGTATATATTGAAGTGCAATTCGAACGCGAGGGGAACAGAAAAATTCCTTATCAGACGATTAACTGATCAAAAAATTACATATTCTTTCCTCCATTTTTGAAGTTATAATAGTCATCGAAATACCTAACATAGCCTCTACCGTTATCTGCACGATTTCTACTTGACAGCCCTTAGCGTTATTTCATAGGTATACGTATCTGTTATTTGCATATGTATTGAATGATTGTTTTCGCCCATTCATTGTTTGCATAATTCTATTGTTTTCTATTTACAGTTATCTGAATTGGAACAGCGAGTTATTGAGGCGGAAGAACGAGCAGAAGAGGCTGAAGATAAGGTGAGTTAATGGAAAGAAAAAGTACACAATTTTATTAAATTAAACGAAAAGTGAATGAATAATAAATCACAAGCACATGTAAAGGAAAGAGATGCCGCGAGTATTTGAAAAATGTTTTATAAATATACTAAAATATTTTTCAATAAAAAAAAAATTTACTTGAAAAATATTTTTATAAGACCATTCACGACATTCACGAGACATACGCTATATATACGCTCACGATGGTGGTCGGGAACGGTTATATGCAGAGAGGGATGGAAGAGGGTAGTAGTTTCTATGTTCGTTTGACTTGAAGTGAAAATGTCAGGCACGGTGGTAAAAACCACTGTTGACAGCTTGTTCCTGTTACGGCAGTGTAGGTAAGGAACGACAACGAGTCGCGATAGGCAAACACTTCTTAGGCGAGTGGGTGGGAGCGGGGACAAAAACCTGTGGTCCTGCTAAAAGACTAAATTGATGGACATATATCTTTTACCTCTGTAGAACCCTTGCATTTGGATGTACCTATACATAGGCATCACGCAGCACCGAAAGTCGAGGATATCAAGAAATTTGGACACACTTTCGTTGTATGCGGTCGAGCGCTTCCAAGCACGATTTGGAAGCTGTCGTTCACATTTATATTGAATTGGTTGAAATCTCTTATTGTACTGCGTGGAATTCACTGACCAGCGTAGTCCAGGCCTGATTTTGATAACTCACGCGATCTGAAATATAGTATAAGTTCGACGAATAGTACTTTGACGATTTAACTGTAAAGCTTAACTCAAACAGTTTGCCTATATAGTATAACATCTCAATTAATCTGTCTGGTCATCTTGTCCGGAATCTGAATATGCTAATCTGTTCGACCCCTAAACTCTCCAGCCTATCGATGTGACCTGCGTGACGGCTAAATTCAAATGAAAGAGGGAGTGCATTCTTCTTCCTTTTTATGTCTCTGTTCGAATGCGATTGGCGTGACAGGCCGTATTCGAAATGTGTCAGCTGACTCACATCGAATATGATAACTGTTTACCATTCCATTCCGGTCCTTATCACAATTAGAAAATACACAACTCTGCAGCCTGCAATATCCAAGGAGCGACATAGACAAGAAAGTTAACAACACGTAAAGATAATTTGAACTACACTAAATACTTACGAGTATTGTGGAATAACAACAAAGTTGTGACTTTGTCCCTCACAATATATATATATATTAATTCATAAATAAAGTAAAATGGATTAAAAAGTAATAAAAAAAAAAAGAAAATGTTTATTATTAAACAGAGGAGGTTATGCTAGCTGTGAATGTTTAGAGATTTGTCCCTTCATTTCCCTCCAAAAATTTTTGAAAAAAATGCCATAACATTGTACATTTTATTATTCTGCTATGAGTCAATGTCCGTACTTACTTTGTCATTAAATCAAATCAATTTAAAATGTGATATAAAGCAATGAGTGTCAGCAAACACCTGTACGCAGGTATCGAAGTTTTCTTACGAAGCAATTCCAAAGTCCCCTATGTGTAAGCGTTTAAAGTTTGGATATTTAAAAAGCCATAAATTGCTTGATGTACACTTTCATTTATCAACTAAAAATCTATATTAATTGATTAGCTTCCCGCGAGCAGTCGTTTATTTTAAACGCGGCCGTCGTAATCTCATAAAACATATATATAAATAATTATCGTTGTTATATGGTTTTTGGTCACTCCTCCTACAACTCAATGTAGTGGACTTGATCGAGTGCGTGAAAAGAAAGAATAATAATAATAAAAAAAATATATAAACAAAATAAAATATATTTAATTGTTAACGAAATTTTGAAAATTATAAAATACTTTCGAAAGAATTTATAGCATAAATATATGCGGAAGGATATTCTATTAAAAATTATCTATAAATTAAAATAAAAAAAAAAAACAAAAACACATATTTTTTATATATAAATAAATTCGTAAAGGATCCTTTAGTACATTTAAGCTGCATAATGACATCTTTTTTTATTCATTTGCCTCGTAAGTATTTCTCGTATCGCTTGTATCGCTTTAAAAGCAATTTCATTTGGAAATCGTTTGTCTTCGTTATTAATAATGTTTGCGATTCATTCACATTCAAACACCTCCACTCATTAGCCAAACTGTATGGTAATCATTACGGTTTTGGTACGCTTTTCTCTTCATTCACTATGAATAAAAATCATTATCCTTTTAAAACTTTACTAAATTGTTGTTCGTATAAAAACAACGGAGTAACTGCCGTAAGCAGCAGTAGATGCGGCAGTGAAAAGCTTTATTAAACATAGGACCATAAGTCAAACTTAACTCCCTTTTCAAACCGTATCAAAATCCCTGAAAACAACTGGCTGCTGAGCTAAGACTTATTGACTGACAAAACAAACCCCAACGGATTTGTTATGAGTTTGTTTAACTTCAATCTGGGAGGACAGGCCACCAATGCTGCTTTCTTTATTCTTTTTTGTTCAATTTGTAAATTACGGGCGAAACGTAATGAATGCCAAACGGAAATAGGCATTAAAACCTTGTAACTCCTCTCTCCCTTTCTCTCTCTCTCTCTCTCTTCCTCTCTTCCTCTCTTTCTCATTCTCTCCCTTAGATATGCTTAACTTACATAAGTTGATATAAACATAGCGTAAAGTCACCGCCACAGTATAACAATAAACAGGGAGACAAATGCTGCGTGATGTTGCATCATGTTGTGGGATTTAAATGTTTAAGGCAAACAATTCAAAACACTCCGACTCTTTTTAACTTACTTTGACTCAATCCTCTACTTCACTTTTGAATAAATTTGATTTCCGTAGGAGAACCACACACACATACATACACAAACAACCATTCATAAACTTATTTGCAATTCAATGTTTTATTATTAACACGTCCCCCGGGAGGAAGAAACAATGTTTCTCAGCCAGTAGTAAATCACAAAACTGCGGTTGAGGGCAAAATTCCGCTCTAGAACGCATGTAGTTCGAGAATTTTTAAAAGCAAAAAAAAAAAAAAAAAAAAAGACAAGCTACATACCACCTTCTCGCCCCCCATACCCCGCCACGCCTCCACTCAACTTACTACGTTGACCTTAACGTTTTGATGCCATTTGAATCATTAGCACATTCCTGACGATATTGGTATTGTTATCGCTTGGTTACCGTAACGAAGTGATTTCCATTTTGCTTTAAAAAGCATTTAAAGATATTTTCAATTGAATCGATATAAAGGGGTTACGTGAGGAAATAATGGCAAATTGAATTGCGGTGAAACGTGTTAGAGGTAAAGCAAACGACTGCAAACCGTTAATAACAATTTGCACGTTAATGTATTATTAATGCAAATACTAATTGAAATAATTTTTGTTAATCATGGCTGCATCATAAACTCGATTGCGATCCATTTCCAAAATATGAACCCTTGATAAAGTTATGGATAATCACTTGCAAAATTTCCGATAAACTTTATTCGAAATTATTTCTCCGCTAGGGCCAAATACAGAGAATGAATCTTTTACGAAGATATCTATCGAAATTCGTAAAGCTTTCGTAGTTCAATTCTATCACATATTTTCAATGCGTTGCAAGCGAACGCGTTTTCATTCTAGTGTTTCTTATATAGAGCAAATCGAAAAGTTTGCTCTCTAGGAAGATTGTACATAATCTCTCTATCAATTTATCATATAATTATTTGTTTAAAATACTTTCAAATATTTTCTATTCGACATTTATCCTATTCAGATCAGGCTAATAACATTTTCGAGAGTTGACCTTGTTTGTCCTATATTTTATATTTTGTCCCTCAAATTGGCATAAAGCCGTGCAACTTGTCATATATGTTCTTGGGTCAAATCAATTGTTGGAGCTTAAAATTGCACATGGCCCACCTGCAATCGCACCCACAACAGTTAAAAGTGGAAACGGAATGCAAGAAACGCAATTCAATCTAAAATTCTACATTACCTACATTTAAATTTCTGAGAATCCGTAATATTTAATGTTAAAAAAAAATAAACAAATAAAACTGATGATGGATGCTCAGGATCAAGTTTACAATTAAGCAGTTTCCCGAATTTCATTTCATTATTCATACAATTTTGCTTACAAAGGTCCCCTGAGAAGAGAGAGAGAGGTAACATTTCGGGAACATGTGTTTTCGTTAACAAGCGTGTGAGGAAAGTCTGACTGCATTTAGGTAAATGCAATCGGCCTTGAATGGAATATCACAAATACGCGGATATCTCCATTAATAATAGTTCGTTTTTTTTTTTTTAATTTTTTATTATAAAAAAATAAAAACCCGGTCACCTTGTGTCATAAGCCAGAGAAAATTCTCCTTCTTTTAATCTATTTGCTTATCTTTTCGTCTTCTCTCGCTCTCTTTCATAATGTTTTTTTTTTTTTAAATAATATCTGTAGTGCGCTTTGGAAAATGGCAATGCCGCTGTTGCTTTTCAACGAGAGAGTATTATAATACTAACTGTATGCGTTTTCTCCAACACATTCTCTCTAATATGAAAAATTCAACAAGATGATAATAATTCATTCATAGGAAACGTGTAACGTAAAATCAAGGAAATAAAGCAATATAATGCTGTTTTGTTGCATTTACTACCACCAAAAGAGCTGCGATATAATTTTACAAAAAACAGGCATGATGCTTGCTAAGGGTTGCTTTAAACCCAAGAAATTGAATTTTTTTCGTTTTTCGTTTTAGTTATTATTTTTTTATTTAAATTTTTTTTTTTTTTTTTTTTTTTTTTCTTGTGCACAGAAGAGGGTGAATATGTAAAAAAGTAAAACGAAAGCCCGTCTTTTTAAAAGAAAACGTATTACGAAAATAACAACATAATAGTAAATGAAAGAAGTGCTAAATAAAGGTAGAAATAAAAAATTGCGGATAAAAGAGAAGAAAGGGAAGACAATGACAACGACCATCGACGACGTCATGTAGACGCGACATGTTTTTGTTAATTTTACAAAGAAAAGTAAAAAGAGCTTAAGTT